TATGGATGCGATGTAGCAGAAAAAAATGATTTGGTTTTTATGCTGTGAATTCGACCATATTTCGTGGCTACATCCTGCCTTGGGAGTGTTCAATTTTGCATCTGAAGACACTTGCTGAAGCCTTAATCTGACTGGTCTGTTTAGCAAATAAGGGTCTTTTGGAGGTAAAGCTAAGTAAAACTTAATGACATCGTGATTGTGTGACAATTCAACTTTCAGTCTTTCATTACTTTTTAGCGACCTTGAGTCAATACAGCTCTTATTCAAGGTCGAATGACAGTTTTGAAACTTATTCATTCCGAGTATACTATTTATTAAATGTTGAAATGCAAAAATATTTTTGCATAGAAGTAAGCTTTGAGAAACTATCGGTTATTACAAACTTTTCCTGCTTTAGTGTGAATTTCTTTGTACTCATCAAATAGGCTGCTCTAGTTTCTCCGAGTAATGTTGCTGTACTACTAGCCTGGGTCGTTTAAGGGGAAGAAGTAGTAAATACATTTTCCATAAATACTGTGAGTACAGTTTCATGATGACGTTGAATCTCCGTTCGCATTGCCTCACAAAAGGTATTCTCATTCAGCCAAGACTTGACTCCCGTTTCCAGCCTCAACAGGAATCGAATATGGGCAGGTCAGTGTTTATTTTGAACACACTATCACTACACAACACTGCCACATGTGCTGGTGGGTCATAGGGCAGATGGTACTTTCAAGGCAAGCCAGGTTTCTCTCATCTCACATTTTTATCATTCAATTCTCGACAATGCAATTGTGTTGTTCGTTTCTAACAAGGACGTGTGCTGTCTCTAAAATATACATCACTTTCCCTCTACAACTCCAAAGATGGAGGTCCCGGAGCGAAGAGAGAAAAGGAACAAATAGTATTACCAATTGTCCTATTTTGAAACGACCGAATACTGTATGGGGGAGCTGAGAATAGAAAGAAAATCATTTAAAGATGGTGTCGAATAGAACATTCTAAATACCCGCGGATTACGGCGGCGTAGCGAAACAGAACGAAAAGGACGTGTCCGATTCAAGCAGAATGTTATCTACTTGACATACCCTTGCATACTTTTCCATCTCAACTTCTGACCGGGCGACGTGAAATAAAGAGTCAAGATTAGTCACACACTTACGTGATCTCTGCGCCAAAATGGTGTTGAGCCATGGCTACATATGAGATGTAACAAAAAGTAAATATTGAATAGGAAAAGTGTGGGATAAGTTGATATATTGTAATTAAAATAGCAAAAATGCACTATCAATATTTGATCTTCTTAAGCAGCCTAGGGTGTCTAAAGTTATTATAGCTACGAGGAATAGCTGGGTTTAGATAAATCTTTTGAGTTGACATTGTTGCAGAGACTTTTATTTTGTATCAAAATGACCTACAAAGAAACTCTATGGTCGATCTCACTAGAAGATGATGGCTGATTCACGTTATACTGCAGCCGTTTGGCTTCAATACGACGTTTAAGTTGACGCAGGTCACGAAACATCCTCCTTCGTTTAGGCAAGAAGACTGATTCACTTTTCTTCTATCATATGAAGGGTGTCATCAGTGCGTGAAATCATTCTTGCCAAAGTATCATGTCAACACTAAGTCAGGCAAACTCTTCTCCACTCCAAACTAGTGAGGATGTCTTGTGGACTGCGCTAACGTGAACATCGTATTATAGCCGAACGGTTGCAAAACACTAGAAATCGGGCGTCTTCTTTTATCATCATGTGTTTCCATACCAAATGAAGTCTACAATATATTTCTTATTTAAGCTCTACTGATCGTCTCGAAAATTAACTCACTATGAATATCGCTTAACTTATTTTGTAGAAATATCTAAAGCATTCCACGATGGATCTTCTACGATGTGTGTGTCATATTGGGTCACCTAATGCAAACACATAATGTTGAAGGTACATTGTGTGCTCTGAATCAAGTCATCTCGTGTTTCTGTGAGAGATTTAATCGTCTTCATTTTTGCGTCACGTTCGAATATTAAATAGCACTGGAGTCGAATCCTGTTTTGGGACTCATCCGGGTTCATATCGGCATTTTTTTACATTATCCTAACTTCAGGCTATGCTTTCCTCATTCCGAAAAGCCTACCTATCTGAATATGCATTCCTCCAAAATACTTCAAATATTTGCTTTGTTTTTCTTGTATACAACATTTTCAAGCGAACCAAAGCTGAGCTTGAGGTGGAGTCACTAATGGGAGAACTGGAAATGACGCGAAAACGACTGGTAAAAGCGCAGTCAGAGGCGGCGGAAAGCCGTGCTGCGTATGTGGATGCGGAAGCAAAAGCAAGTAGGTCCATCCTCACGAGAAAGTTGATTGAGTAATTTATTAATATGCTTTATCTGACGTCTGAACTCACCAGATTTCAATCGGTCCCGAAGGTGAGCTGTATGAAACTCGTACCCTTTTAGAGCATCCACATCCACGGTGGGGTCTCAAAGGTGTACTTATGGTCATTATAAAGT